TCTCTTTCCCGACAATCCCCTCTGTGCACGAACCCTTACATATGGTAATGAAACATTAAAACACCTGCGGCTTATAGTCCAGTGCGGCTTATAGTCCGAAAATTACAGTACTCTGAGTCTATGAGGAAAACAGGCTTTTTATTTTTACTTAAACTCTCAGTGTCATCTCTAGGCATTGACAATCCTAACCTCTCCTTACTGTCCTCAGCATGTGTTGTGCTTATGATCAGGTTTATATCTTTATATGCGTCATCTACACCAAAGCAAATTCCTCGTATGTGTAACGCTACTTGGTTATAAAACCGATCCTGATTCTGAACTAACTTTCACCGTCTCTCTTTGTCTTTCTGTCTTCAGGTCTGTTCATGTCGTCCATCACTGTCGTCATCCTCATCACTCGCTTCCTGATCGACACCTTCTGGATTCAGGGCGTCACGTGGACCAGCGAGTGTGTTCCCGTCTACGTTCAGTTCTTCGTCAAGTTCTTCATCATCGGCGTGACGGTGCTGGTGGTGGCCGTGCCTGAAGGTCTTCCTCTGGCCGTCACCATCTCCCTGGCCTACTCAGTCAAGGTGTGTTGGTATATAACATCACTTATATCTCACGACATATTGGCACGGCTCAAAAGACTTGTGGCGTCAAGAACTCCCAATGAGGTTTGGACAAAACTTTGAGTTGAATCACGGTAGAATATTCAATATGAAATCCCTGAGAATATTCAACAAAAATATAACACAACCAGGGCTAAAAGAACAGAGAGTATTTGATCATAAAATGGATTTAGAAACTGGGAAATTCTGATAAAGGCATGAGAAAAACATCACAGGCACTCTCTGATGGACCAGAGAGTGCCTTTAGTGATAGAAACGGGGTTGAAGGGGGAGACCAAGTGGTGGACCTGGGTTCCTTGAGCCAGATTTTAACCCACGTACTGTTATTTTATAAAACGATTTTGAAAAAACTTTCTACAGTTTTACAGTGCTAACGTAATTTTAGTTGCACACAGAATTGTTTTGGAGCAATGACCATCTAGAAAAGTGGTTTGTTAGTATATAACGTCACTTATATATCACGACATATTGGCACTGCTCAAAAGCTTGTGGCGTCAAGAACTCCCAATGAGGTTTGGACAAAACTTTGAGTTGAATCACGGTAGAATATTCAATATGAAATACCTGAGAATATTCAACAAAAATAAAACACAACCAGGGCTAAAAGAACAGAGAGTATTTGATAATAAAATGGATTTAAAAAAACTGGGAAATTCTGATAAAGGCATGACAACGGTGTTGAAGGGGGAGACCAAGTGGTGGACCTGGGTTCCTTGAGCCAGATTTTAACCCACGTACTGTTATTTTATAATACGATTTTGAAAAAACTTTCTACAGTGCTAACGTAATTTTAGTTGCACACAGAATTGTTTTGGAGCAATGACCATCTAGAAAAGTAGGTGTGTTAGTATATAACGTCACTTATATATCACGACATATTGTCACTGCTCAAAAGACTTGTTGCGTCAAGAACTCCCAATGAGGTTTGTCGCTGATGGACCAAAGAGTGCCTTGAGTGATAGAACCAGTATTAAAGGGCAGGACTTGGCCTGTAAGTTCCTCGAGCCGGATTTTAACCCACGTACTGTTATGTTTTATATGATTTTGTAAAAATGCTCAACAGTTTTAAAGTTCTAAAGCCATTTTAATGTAATTTTTAGCACTCATTAGCACCCAGAATGGTCTTTGGCTCTCCCCTGTTGGAGCAATGACCACTTTGGAAAGTAGGCTGATGGACCGGAGAGTACATTCATTGATAGAAACTGTATTAAAGGGGGAGACCAAGGGGAGGACTTGGCCTGTAGGTTCCTCGAACTGGATTTGAACCCACGTACTGTTATTTTCTATAAGAATTTGTAAAAATGTAATGTCATTTTTAGCACTCAGAATGTTTTTTGGCTCTTCGTGCTTGGAGCAATGACCACTTTGGAAAGAAGGCTACTAACTAAACTGAATCTCCTCCTAGAGCACCATTGAGTTCTTTGTAACCAAATGTCTCTGAGAGGGGCGTGGGGAGGGGCTCCTTATTTTCATCTAAAGTAACAGACAGAGAATCAGCACTTTGGAAACAGGGCTGAAACAGAGGGGATTATGGGTAATGCTGCAATGATCTGTTTGGTGTTTCAGCCAATCAGAGACATGTTCTGTATATATCTGAGACCTATGATATATTGATGAAAAACAGTATGATAAGGGACTTCTAAGTAATGCTGCGTTTCTTGTTTATTCCAGAAAATGATGAAGGACAACAACCTGGTCCGCCACCTGGACGCTTGCGAGACGATGGGCAACGCTACGGCTATCTGCTCCGACAAGACCGGCACGCTCACTATGAACCGCATGACGGTGGTGCAGGCCTACGTGGCGGGACAATATTACAAAAGGTTGCCGGATCCGAAAGACATCCCGGCATCAGCCATGGACCTGCTCATCCAGGGAATAGGGGTCAACTGCGCCTACACCACCAAGATTATGGTGAGCGGTTAAAAATAGCCGGCCGTTCAGGAAGCGCCATGAGAGTTAAGCATTTGGCTGAGAGGGCGGGTTGGTTTGGAGAGTAGCCACAGCTCAGGACTCATCTGATTACTGCAAGGATCACAGCACATGCATACATGATACCAACAGGTGTAGCTTTTAGGGTTTAAGTTCTGTCCAACACACTTTCAGCAGCTAATAGCTTATATTCAATTAAAGACTCAAGATGCAAAGGCTTAATTGTCATTTGCACAGTAGCTAATGTAGTTATGGCAAGGGAACTGAATGAAAGTTTGAGGCTCCTCCAACAGTGCAACATACTGATTAAAACTGAACCGTGAACTTTAATTAAGTATATATTATGTCAACAAATTAACAAAAGTTAAACATGTTTTATTTAAACTTAATATTAACTAACCTAGTACATTTATGTGAGACCTGTTGACCTAATACATTTAAGTCAAAGTTTCAATTTTTTGTGTGTACATATAGGACATAAAACAAATTATAATAATAATAGTGCAAGAAGAAACAGAGTAGAAATAAAATTGTGCAAGACTGTAGCGAGACGAGGTGATAAGTAATCGAAACATTCCTCATAGTGCACAATACTTCTTTTATATTTGACTATTTATTTAGTTTTCTAAATACTTATGCTCCATCTTTATCACTTTTTTTTTTAACCCCTGATGAGGTTGCATGCCGTCCAACAAACGTCAAAAAAAATGTGTAAACAGGGGGGAGAATATCATGTCCAAAGATCCAGCCCAGGCCCTTGCATTTTCTCCATTTCCATCTTAATTCTTCTTCTTTTACCCCGTTTCAACCCATTGCATTCTCAGTCAGAGAGTATAGCATCCCAAATCAACCCCTCCTCCAGTATCCTAGATATTATCCCTATTAAGCTGATCAAGTATTTTCCACCATGTTTTTATAGCAATACTTTTATTATATTTGGTCTGGCCTTTTGCAGACAGTTTTAAATTCGCCATTGTTAACCCATTACTAAAGAATACCAGTTGGACCCCCTGTCCTTAAGTTACGACAGCCTAATCTCCAGAGTGGCTTCTTTCTATCTAAGGTCCTAGACATTAAACATATCTGTTTTCTGTTTGTTTAAATCTGTTTTTTGGTCCTGTGCTGCTGCCTTTATGAGTTTCATTCCCGCACAAGATAAAGATTTGTCATGATATAAATGAACCGCCTGCTGTGCTGTAACCCCCTCTCTGCTGCTGTTTCCTGCAGCCTCCAGAGAAGGAGGGCGGGCTGCCTCGCCAAATAGGAAACAAGACTGAATGTGCCTTACTGGGATTCTCCCTCGACCTGAACCGAGACTACCAGGCCGTCCGCACCGAAATCCCAGAAGAGAAACTGTTCAAGGTCTACACCTTCAACTCTGTGAGGAAGTCCATGAGCACCGTGCTGAAGAACCACGATGGCAGCTATCGAATGTTCAGCAAGGGCGCCTCTGAGATCCTGCTCAGGAAGTACGTTTGGGAGTACTTTTGTGCTTTTACTTAAAGTTCACCTATTATGCAAAATCCACTTTTTCATGTATTTTATACATAAACATGTGTCCCGTCTGTATTTAGATTATTGATGAAAAACAGTATAATAGGGGACCTTTAAGTAAGATGTCGAATTAAGGACTTTTACTTGTAACAAGTTAAGTAACGAATCTGAGTACTTCTTCCACACCGCTGCTCACACAACTCTGCGCTCAGTTATATGATGATTTCATGACTCCTTCCTGTTGTTAAAGGTGCTGTAAGATCCTGACCACTACCGGCACGGCCAAACCCTTCAAATCTCACAACCGAGAAGACCTGGTGAAGCAGGTGATCGAGCCGATGGCGTCGCAGGGCCTCAGGACCATCTGCCTCGCCTACAGAGACTTCTCCGCCGCTGAGGGAGAGCCCGACTGGGAAGACGAGGTGCACATCCTCACCGGACTCACCTGCCTCGGCGTGGTCGGCATCGAAGACCCTGTCCGACTCGAGGTACGTCAGACCAGTTGTTATCTACGCGCATCCACATTAATGATCAGATATTGCCGTTTAAAGAAAAACTGATGAAATACTAAACAAAACTCTAAACTCTTAAACAAAAGATTCGAAGCTATTCGGCGTATCTTGGGTACATTTTCTCCTCCAGATTTCACCATGCGGTCTCAATCGTGCAGTTAATAGTTTGCCTTCCACTCATCGTGAAAACCCGTCACCTGTCGTCTATTAAAGGGCCGAAACCACGCCCATGTGACGCCACCATAATAATACATTGATAGTCGGCATCAATCAAAATATTCATAACATTTCATTATAAATATAAATAAGATAGAAATGCAAAATGGCTTCAACACCAGTCTTCACATAGGGTAAAGTACAAACTAGAGAATGCAATTCCTGAATTGATTGCGGTGGGAAGGCTGTATCTAAGTTATGTAAGGGGGAGGAGCTAAAGTTTGGGGGGCGGAGCAAAGCTTGTGCTGAGTGCGATGATATTTCCAACGAGAGACAATGGCAATCTGTTCATAAATTGTGTACATTTGAAGAGTTTGACAATTATCTCAATGGGGGAACATTTTGAAGAATTATGGTTAATATTTCTGGAATTATGAAAGATGTCTAGAGTCATAGCGGTCATGTCCTAATTGAGCTGCACGTTTAAATGTTCGAACAGAGTTTCTGCGATGTAAAATGTGGGAGTCAAGGGGCAAAACAATTTGGGGGAATAATAATTTTCCCGATGAAGAACATATGTTGTGAATGTTGACACAGCATTCACAACAAATATACTTTATTTTAATTAATTAATGAAGATTGTTCACTCGTAAAATGATGGCATGAATGTTGTTTAAGCTTCTCGGATAAAGGAAATAAGTTTGACTACTACCTGTGCTAATATCTGGAATTCTGAGTTTATCAACAGTAACAGTTTTTCTCATTTAAGTTTCTTTAAATCTACGTTTCTTTGGTTGTTCCCATCAGGTCCCAGATGCCATCAGAAAGTGCCAGCGGGCGGGGATCACTGTCCGCATGGTGACCGGAGACAACATCGACACCGCCCGCGCCATCGCCACCAAATGTGGCATCATCCAACCTGGAGACGACTTCCTGTGCATGGAGGGCAAAGAGTTCAACCGACGCATCCGCAACGAGCAGGGAGAGGTCTGTTTCTAAGTCTCATTTTAATCTGGTACTTCAGATTGAAAGACCCTATAACATGTCTTCTAGCTCCACCCTCAGGTCGACTTCACAGTTTTAGCTCCTTCTGGCACTGTACAGATTGTGTTAGTTCTAAAATATAAGATTTTCTGTAGAAGACTTTTTGTAATTTTTTGTTTATTTCCTGCCACAGAAATGTTCTGTTTTTCCTTAGGGGACAATCGGTCTGCTAAACTTATATGAATAAATGTTTTGCAACCAATGCTTCATATTTATGTCTTCTCTCTTTTTATACAGATTGAGCAGGAGCGTATCGACAAGATTTGGCCAAAGCTGAGAGTCCTCGCCAGATCATCTCCGACAGACAAACACACTCTGGTCAAAGGTTAGTAACTATAGGAGGACAAAGAGACCTGAGGGACACAGATAGTCAAAGAGCCATACAGGCAGAGATTGAGACGTTTTTTTAACCTATTTATGTCAAAATCTATAGAAAACAAAGCATGAAATGTGAACCCTGATATAAAATGAAACCAAGAAATCATCGGCTCATCACAGAGGAGAAAACTGGCATTAAGGTGTTTTTAAGGAGTAGCTGTCGTCCTGATTTGGTCCATGCGTTCTGTCTATCATTTCTCAGGTATCATCGACAGCACTGTGCTGGAGAAGCGTCAGGTCGTCGCTGTAACTGGAGACGGAACAAATGACGGCCCCGCCCTCAAGAAAGCGGACGTCGGCTTCGCTATGGTGAGGATTTCATCAAACTGCTGCCTTTAGCAAACTTTGTAACATTTCCCATCGAGTAGTGAGAACAATCTTTAATATCTGATTAACTCTTAAAATCTCAGAGCACTTCTTAAAAGGTTTGAACTTATTTCTTAGTGTATTGATATATATAATTAAAGAACAAGCAAATGCCCAGCAGAACATTGAACTTCCTGTTTGTTGTGGCTCCGCCCCCCAGATCTTCAGGTTATTCTAGATTTAAAAAATATTCCTGTCATGTTCTGAAACAGAGCAGTTTGGAGGTTAATCTATTGTTTATTCAAATTACTTAAACTTGATGATTTATTGTGATTTCTAACATTTTTATTATCAACAATTTTATCCATTCCTCTCAGAAAGATTTAAATGACAGTTTTCCTATCCACCACTGATGGTTAGATCGGAGTTGTGTGAAAAGCATTTTGATGGTTTTCGATCATTCTCCACGTACAAACAGACAGCGGACAGGTTCAGTATCTCAATCTCAATCTTTATTTATTTATATAGCACATTGAAAACAACCTCAGTGGACCTAAGTGCTGTACAGGCAATACATACAATATCAAATAACACAATGGGAGTGAAATAATAAAACAATGATTACAAACTTGATCAAAAGCACAATAACTAGAAACATATAAAAACACATACAAATGTAAAAATGTTATGTTCAACTAGTATTAAAAGTCAGGGCAAAGAGGTGAGTTTGTAGCTGAGATTTAAAACGTTCAATAGACTCAGCAGCCCGGATGTGTACTAGGAGGCTGGATAAGTGGAAGGTTTATAACTTTATAACGCTTGCTGTGTTGCGCAGGGCATTGCGGGGACGGACGTGGCGAAGGAGGCGTCGGACATCATCCTGACAGACGATAACTTCAGCAGCATCGTGAAGGCTGTGATGTGGGGCAGGAACGTCTACGACAGCATCTCCAAGTTCCTGCAGTTCCAGCTCACCGTCAACGTGGTGGCCGTCACCGTGGCCTTCACTGGAGCCTGCATCACCCAGGTGAGAAACACTGAAAACACTGAAATAAACAGAGATGGCAAAAGTATACACATCCTTTACTCGAGTAGAAGTAAAAATACTCTGGTAAAAGATTAACTTCTTTACTCAAGTCAAAGTAAAGAGGCTTTGAAATGTACTTCAGTAAAAAGTACCCATAACTAGCAGCTGTTTTAAAGAGTACCTGACCTCCCTTTATATTAATAGAACAATAATGTCATTGTTAGCTAATGAATGTTTCCATGGTGACCAACGGCAACATGACAACGTTTTCATTGGTCCCTCTTCTTTAGAGAAGACCAGGAAATGATGGATACACGGATCGTGTTCAAATCAATAGGCACGCAATGACTAAATAATAATGATCACGCCACAAAACACACATTCAGACTAAAGGAACCAGCCTGTTTGGAAAATGAGAGAAGTAGAAAGTACAGGTATTTGTGTTCAACATGTAAGAAGTAGAAAGTACAGGTATTTGTGTTCAACATGTAAGAAGTAGAAAGTACAGGTATTTGTGTTCAACATGTAAGAAGTAGAAAGTACAGGTATTTGTGTTCAACATGNCCTACTACACAACAAGCAGATAGTTAAATATGAGGTTAAGGATCTGCTATTGTGTAGGCTCTATGTGTCACATACAGAAATATAATAACAATATGAATTCATAGCAGATCCTTAACCTCATATTTAACTATCTGCTTGTTGTGTAGTAGGCTCTTAACCCTAAAACGGTTTCTGTATCCTGGGGGATACGTTTATTTGACAAGCTGTGTCCGTGTGTAAAATAGGTCTAATAACAGTGTAATTAAGGTGTAATATGGGTCTGATAGCGGGGTAAGGTGTAATAACAGAGTAACATGGGTGTAAAACAGATAAATAATGGTAATAAAAGGGTCACAGGGGCGTACTAAGGATGTATTATTGTGCCATCTCAGTGTAATAGGCTTGTAATAACCATGTAATATGGGAGTTATAACAATGTAATTAAAGTGTGATATGGGTATAATAACACATGTCAAACCAAATCAACTTGCATGATGAAAATGAAATTAGCCCTAGCACATTACAAGGGGCCCTAATATGAAAAAGCTCTGAAAGAAAGGAACAACAATACAAGTCCTGTTCAAAGTGAATTAAACCCATATGTGGCATCATCTTCATCACAACCAAAGTGAAATGGATTGCTTCATTGATGAAGAGCACTATGATACTGATGCTCAGTTGATTCATCAGATTGGTATCGTACCTGCTTTTCCGATCTGCACAGCCAGTTTGGTCAGCTTCCCCTGGAGGACGGACTTCTCCTTTTTGAGGTTTTTCTTCTTCTCCGGTTCTCCATCATCGTTGAGCGGCTGCATCTCCACCGGGCCTCCATCCTTGTTTTTTCCTACAGAAAACAAGGGAATTAAACGCACGTCAAGATGCGATTACATTTCTTTCCTCCATTATAAAAAATATATAATCGACAAATAGTTAACTGAGCCAATTAAGACAGATCTTTATTCTTTTAATAGTCTTTAACAACTTGAAGGTTACATTATATTAGGATCAAATGCACCCGTCTCTAAACGGTAGATGTGAAGTGTTGTTGCTGATTTACAGGGACTTTGCAAAAACTAAGCAGCTCACAAACATCACAGTTAGAGTCGTCGTTTACAAAAAAGAATGCCACCAAAGAAGAATTGGAGTTTTACTTTCCCTGCTGATAAAGAATATGGTTGAATAAAGTTACAGCAGTTCCTCTTTCTGCCGCAGAGAGGGACGTTTGTCCTGAGGCTGTGTATTTATAACTCTTCACCTCACAGAAGGGTCCTTCGTTCAGTGTGTGACTTCAAACAGAGTTCAATCTGTCAGGCAGTGGGAGGGTGCACGGGCCGGATTAGAAGAAGCCCTGGAGAGTGGGGGTATCTGTAGGTGTGTGTTTGTTTCTCCGTGTGTGAGAGCATTCTGATCCCATCTCAGTAATGAGTTTATTAGGGGACAGGCAGGCAGGAGAAGAAAGCAGCTGCCGAGCTTAAGGCCGATAATCTGCTTGGTCCTAATCACCAGCAACAGAGTCAGGAGCACCTGCTGCTGCTCAGAGGGACGCACACTGCACCATGTGGGAGAACCAGGAAGACCGGACAGGGACCTGGAACCAGGAGTCTGCCTGAGATCAGACATCAGTCATATACTACACGACCTCACAGAACTAAAGCAGCTTTGTGTTGCTCACCTTTCTTTGCTTTCTCCTCTTTTTTACCTGTAAGAGAAAAACATGCAACAGTTAGTGGTTTTTGGCGAAAGGTGCTTTTTTTGCCGGCACGCAACGGCTAGGACGTTAGTAAGGTAAGGTAAGGTAGGTTTATTTCTAAAGCACATTTTCAGACACAGAGGCAATTCAAAGTACTTTACGTCATCATTAACACTTAACAAGAAGACAACAGAAAGGAACACAATAAATAAACTAAATGGAATAACAGATTCATAAAAACCATTGCATAAAAGAAATACAGAATAGTTTAAAAACAACATTGTAAATACGGTAGGCGCTAAAACAAGTTAAAATACATGATGTAGACAAAAAGTGTATGATAACTTTTGATCCTCGTGGTCTTTAGATCATACTGACCAAATTTAAAGTCGATCCGAATGAAACTGTAGGAGTTAGCTCAAATATGGGGCTGAAAAAGTTCAAATTTGCCAAAAGTTACACATAAAAAGAAATGGCCGACTTCCTGTTGGGTTTACAGTGTGTCTCCAAGAGGGTTTCTTGTGCATCTCACCATGCTACATTTGCCTACCAAATGTCAGACTTGTAGGTGGAAGTACAATGAGGGGCTGCTTGTTAGGAAATTCGTACGGGGTGCTATAGAGACATTTCACATGCATCAATTATGAAAGCCCCCAAAATATCAAATTGCTCCCCAGCCCTGACAAGAGTGCAAAACATCTCCATCTTTAATTTCTCTTGTATAGTTTCTACATTTTGTTTATTTCCTTATTTAAGGTTTTGAATACCTCTTATTTTGAATTGATCTGTGCTGTATTTCTTTTGTTTTCCTCTGACAATCTTAAAGACTTAGAATAGTATCTGCAAGCTTAAACACACGATGACGTTGGCTGACGTTTCATTGTTAACCCCTAACAGTAATCTTATTAAACCGATCCCTTTGTTCTCTGAAC